ATTGTAATATTTGTTCACAGACCTTAGTTCAATTATTCTTTTAATATGTTGGTGTAACAATAAAGAAATATCAAGCGGCCAATCGGTGTTTTGGTTTTTTCGTCCGTTATAACTAAGCGTTTCTGAAATCTTCGAAGAACAGCGTGGGCCCGAGCGTAGCGAGAGCTGGGCATTAACGGTTTATGAGACGTGATTGACAGTTTCTGACGATAGAAACAGATCTGGCGGATTCAAACAGTTGGTGAAAGTTTGGATAGCCACCGTTCATCTTTCCTGGTGCCGGTCAAGTCCTCTTTGAACAAGCAATATCTGGAACATTTTCGGAATTTGCTCAAGTTCAACAATGCCTGGGTCAAAGAAGGGACAGAGCGTCTTGGATACAAACAGGAAAGTAAGTCATGGTGACTTGTTTGTTAATTGTAACGATGTGTCTGATGTTAAGCATGACATGGCTGATGTTACTGTTTCGCCGTTCAGGGATGATAGGAACATCAAACTCCCTAAATTAGAACCACGGTGTTTTGATGGAAACTCGGCCGATTATTTACAGTTTGTAAAGGAGTTTGAGATCATGCTGAGTAGTTTTTTATTAATTGATGAATTGAAATTGATGTATTTGATGAGATATTGCACTGGAGATGCTGCAAGAGCTATACAGTGCTGTAAGCTCATGCCCCCTAATGAGGGATACGCTGAGGCTATGAGCATATTACGTCAAAGGTTTGGAAGACCTTCGATGATTGTAGGGAAATTATTCGAGGCTGTTAAGGGTAATGGTGGTCAATTACAGGATGACTCCCAGGCACTCACTGAGTTTTTAGATAATTTGCTAATTTACAAGAATGGAATGATTTCGATGAATCGCATGAGTGACCTCAACTCGAGTTTTATACTAGAAGTAATAGCAAGACGCCTACCTACTCGACTGCAAAGGAAGTGGGTGAAGATAAGCTCCCGTATGGAGGATGAGGGTATCGAGCCAAAGTTTGATGATATCCTGAAACTGGTAAATACTAGTGTCAATCAATCGATGAGCAAGTTCGCCAGTCTATTACATCTCACCCCTAGAATAGAGCAGTCTGAGATCAAAATGCAATCATTGATGACGAGTAGGCCTCAGAGAGGTGGATATCGAGAAGGCTCCATGATATATAGTAATGCATATAGACCTAGTGAGTGTAACAGGTTTCGTAGTATATCCTCAACAGATAAGTTGCAAGATGCAAGACAAACACGGTCTTGTTTTACACGTGTGCAAGAAGTGCATACAGAAGTGAACTGTGAACCAGTGAGCAAGTTCAGTGATAAGCTAAATGTAAACTCCAGGCATGACTCCGAATTGTGTGACGATAACGGTGTTGTGAAGAAGTCTGTAGTTGCAACTGGTAAGCCATTGTTGAATAGAGTGTCACAGAATAGAGTTACTGCTTCAGAGTGGATTTCTGACTCCACAAGTTTACAAAGTATAACTAGTCAGAGTGAAGATATAAAACCTTTAATGATTTGTGAGGAGGAACCAAAATTGTCTACTTCTGTTATTAAAGAGTTTGAAAATGATGAAGTTGACGGTAAAGTGAATATTCGTGATAATGATCATGATACTTCACAGTTGTCTTTGGTTGATCATTATGAGATGAGGGATATGCCTACTACTGCTAAGTTAAATAAAGGTTCTTTACAACTACAACGTGAAGTAGAATTGAACGCAGGTGCAGTTCCAGAAGGTGTGCATACTTGTGAGACAGTCAGTGTAATTGATCAGCGTGTAGCCCACCTATCATCAGATGATAGTGCTAAACCCGAACTAGTAGTGAAAGACAGCAGTGGTGGTAATCTTGCAGTTGAACAACTATCTGAAAGCCGAAAAAGAACAGCTTCTGATCCACCGCTAATTTCATCACCTTGTGTCACTCAGTCATCGTTGGTGTTTTCATCCACAATGAAACAGATGCCCATCAACTCAAGTATCTTCTGCAATGACTATGATAGTATTGGTGCGTTTGAAAAGACGAAAGATATTGCTCAGTTTAGTGAGAATAAGCCAAGTGTAAACGAGAGAGTAATTGTTAAATTGACTTGCATGAATAAAGGCATTTCTAGTTTCAAGTTACTAATTGAATGCTATTATCTTTGGTGTAAATTACTCTGTTTCTACACTTGGTTGATGAGATATGTCGTGTGTTTGTTGGTCATCTATATTCTACGATACAATGACATGGGCGTGTTGCCGTTCAGATTTGAGGATATAGCTCATAGAAGGAAGTCAGCCAATGAACTCTGCAACGATTTTCCAACCTAGGGCGTCAACCTGAGAAGGGTTGTAGGCGTACTGGTGTAAGTCCTACAGTTCTTCAAAGGGTAGCGCATCAGTGAGCAGTCCAATGTGCTTGGTGTATGATCTTGTGCATATGTTCATATTGTATATACTGAATTGATATCACCTGTCATCTAGCTGTTGGTAATTCTGTTTGTGTCCGGACGACTTCCACTTGGATCATCAACCTGAGAAGGAATGTAGGCGTACTGCTGTAAGTCCTACAGTTCTTCAAGGGTAGTTTGTCATGCCGGAATCCACAACATTTGATGTAGTGATTGTACATATGTTTGTGTTAAATAGTTGTGTGAGTTCCAATTATCGTAATTGTTGGTTAATCTTGTTTGTGTTCGGACATTCCACAAATTACAATCGTCAACGTGAGAAGGGTTGTAGGCGTACTGGTGTAAGTCCTGCAATTCTTCAAAGGAATTCCACCAAGACATGATCGGCGAGGTTGTTCGTACAATTTGTATATGCGTGTGGTGTGTCATATCAATTGGTGTTTTTGGATTCATTGTGTTTACTTGTTGTTTTCGTATCTTGTTGTTATTGCGTAATTTTGTTAAAATTTTCGTCGTGATTACTTCTGAAGTTGTTTCGAGTCTTCTACATCCATGAATGAATTGATTGATGTTAAGGACAGCAGATGGGTCGTATACGCCGGGGAGGCTAGGCTATTGCTGAGAATGAAATGCACACGGAGATAATTGTTAGCTGCGGTCCGACACGCCGGGGAGAAAGAGTGTAAACGACTGAGGCTCGCATGCGTCACCGCTACTAGAACTGAGGCAGAATGAGTGACAAGCGATTTCAGTGGTAATTGGTAGTGAGTAGATAAGAGGATGTGCGTAGAGTATCATGAGTTGGTGCTATGGTCACGTTGCATTCTGCAAGAGTCATTCTAGTAAGTGGCGATTGTGTTGCAAGATGTCAAGAGGAGGCCTCTATCTGGAGGCGCAGGTCGTCAGCGATGTGTGAGATTGTGCTGTGGGTATGCTTGTGGTGTGTTGGCTTTTCTGTTTGTTTTCCATTTCAGCTCTGCCCGTGTGACCCAGGTTCTCGCAATGGCATCCAAGTCAACGTGTATTGGTCGTCAAGGAAAAAAGGGTTGGATCCCGTTTTTGCCGGGGAGTGTCAATGGAGTTGATGATTGAACGATCAATTCATGGTTGTTTGCTCAAAATCAACTTCCCCAATTTTCGCGGAGGCATCAATACGACAGTCATCGCCTCATCAGTCGCTGTTCAGAAAGAAGAGTGAAACATCGTCAGAAGTAAAACAATGATTTATTATTGTAATATTTGTTCACAGACCTTAGTTCAATTATTCTTTTAATATGTTGGTGTAACAATAAAGAAATATCAAACGGCCAATCGGTGTTTTGGTTTTTTCGTCCGTTACAACTAAGCGTTTCTGAAATCTTCGAAGAACAGCGTGGGCCCGAGCGTAGCGAGAGCTGGGCATTAACGTTTTATGAGACTTGATTGACAGTAGGCGTCTTGCAATTACCTCTGGGACTGAGGTGGATTTGAGGTCACTCGTGCAATTAATAGAAATCAAGGTATTCTTATATGTCATAAGATTATCCAGAAACTCAGTGAGTGCCTGGGAGTCATCCTGTAATTGACCACCATTACCCTTAACAGCCTCGAATAATTTCCCTACAATCATCGAAGGTCTTCCAAACCTTTGACGTAATATGCTCATAGCCTCAGCGTATCCCTCATTAGGGGGCATGAGCTTACAGCACTGTATAGCTCTTGCAGCATCTCCAGTGCAATATCTCATCAAATACATCAATTTCAATTCATCAATTAATAAAAAACTACTCAGCATGATCTCAAACTCCTTTACAAACTGTAAATAATCGGCCGAGTTTCCATCAAAACACCGTGGTTCTAATTTAGGGAGTTTGATGTTCCTATCATCCCTGAACGGCGAAACAGTAACATCAGCCATGTCATGCTTAACATCAGACACATCGTTACAATTAACAAACAAGTCACCATGACTTACTTTCCTGTTTGTATCCAAGACGCTCTGTCCCTTCTTTGACCCAGGCATTGTTGAACTTGAGCAAATTCCGAAAATGTTCCAGATATTGCTTGTTCAAAGAGGACTTGACCGGCACCAGGAAAGATGAACGGTGGCTATCCAAACTTTCACCAACTGTTTGAATCCGCCAGATCTGTTTCTATCGTCAGAAACTGTCAATCACGTCTCATAAACCGTTAATGCCCAGCTCTCGCTACGCTCGGGCCCACGCTGTTCTTCGAAGATTTCAGAAACGCTTAGTTATAACGGACGAAAAAACCAAAACAACGATTGGCCGCTTGATATTTCTTTATTGTTACACCAACATATTAAAAGAATAATTGAACTAAGGTCTGTGAACAAATATTACAATAATAAATCATTGTTTAACTTCTGACGATGTTTCACTCTTCTTTCTGAACAGCGACCGATGAGACGATGACTGTCGTATTGATGCCTCCGCGAAAATTGGGGAAGTTGATTTTGAGCAAACAACCATGAATTGATCGTTCAATCTTCAACTCCATTGACACGTGTTGCATTCTCAGTACCGCCTTTCTTATATCAGTCGCATTACATTTAATATTGCTTTTCTTGAATTACATAGATTTACACCAAGTTTTGAGACTTTGTTTTGGTAACATAAGTCCGACAAATTCTCCTGAAGCAAAAGCTGTTGAAGGTCAAGGTCCAATAACTGTTATAATTCAAAACCCGACTGGCACTTTGTTAATGTCTGTTTACCGCAGTGGTAGAATTGCAGTTTGGCAAATTCCTGCTTCACTCTTATGTGACGAATCTGAACAAGACACAATAAAAGGCCGTCTTCATGATCCAGATGATGAGTCTGACAGCACAGGAACAGCACAGCATGATGACATCAACTCTAGTCAAAGTTCTTTGCAACAAGAAATTTCGATGGCCCCAAAAAAGCGAAGTTCCATTTCTTTAACCTATACAAGTAGTTACGGACGCCTTTTATGCGTCATCAATGATGCACACGGCGTTGACCATTCTGTCAGTCTTTGTTCTTTTACCACTGTTTCTTCACTGGCTGCTTGTGTCGACACTGGTGGATCGGTATTTCAACTCAAGTTCACGTAGGTCAAGATGTAGTTTTACTGCGAAAAGCTTTTCTGAATTGTCTGTGTTTTATTTCTTTGTTAATTTCTAAATATATGTATTCCTTTTCGCATTTTCATCAGACAGTCAATTCATCATATTAATTAACCACTGCATAAATTGTATTCTGCTAACCTGATTCATTGAACATTCTCACTCATTCAGTTCCACTGTTGGGTGGATTTTAATTCACATAATGAATTTTTCAAGGAATTGTTCGGTTTCCTGTAAAATTCGCTATTTGGTCGTGGACTTCTCATCATAAGTTAATTGATGGATGGTGACTAGAAGGGGAATCCAGGATGTGTATTTCGTCCTTTTTGGGACTGGTCATTCGGATGTACTTGCATTCCACAGTGGGTGATGATGTTCCCACCGAGGCTCGAACCCAGTGCCCGTAGTTTAAACGCCAAAGCGTCATCCACTAGACCACTTGAGCCAGGAGAGCCACATCTTGTGCAAAGGGTCTTATGAATTACTTAATTTAATTTTATATTTTCCCGTCGATTGAGTGGACCGAAGTGCTCAGTCTCAGGTTGACATGTCGGCTTCTTGTGCAGATGCTCCGACGATGTCTTGACACGTAATTTAGAAGTTATTCGGTGGATGAGACCGAGCACTTCAGTCCAATCAATCGACTGGAAAATCTAAAATTGAATTAGATGTTTCATCATAAGGATTTGTAATATTTCCATTTCTTATAAATTGCGTGAATTTAGTGCTCAAAACATCGCCACGCTATATGTCGAAACCTCCACGATATAATGCCGAAGCTTAGGAAACACTAAATATTTTCTACTCTTATCCCGTGATTTACAAATCTCTGTTGTTTTATCGATGTATGTTCGAATAAATTACTTATTAATTCAATTAATGTTGACATTTATGGTTTCAGATGTCCTTAGAGCTTGTTTGTAGTTAAAAACCTCATTCGGCATAGTTGTTTGGCTCATAGTCGTTGTACTCGAATAGTTACTGATTCTTCCGACAGTAATACAATGAATGGAATGTGCTTTGAGTTTCTGTCGTTGGTCACTATTGCACTTCTAATCAAAGGTGCGAGTCTGAACTAACTCGATACCTGAAGATAATACATATGGATTTACCTAGCTAACATGATTTGTAGCTGTTTATAAACTGGTGAAAGTCAGTAGTGGGAATGGGGTAATAAAGTCTGTTGGAAGATTACTCGATTATACTCCGTTCACATTTATTTCACTGAATGACTATCTCCGTACACATGGTGATTCCTCTTCAAAGGTTTTTCTGTTTCACTGTATTCTATAATGTCTTGAAACATATTCATTCATTTTTGATAGCATTCGATCTGCATGAACTCGCTCAACAGATTTGTTCACCATACTCATCATGAAGTTATCTTAAAAGGACTACTGGCAGATGATCATGCTGCTCAGGATATTTTACCTGACAATCTAAGTGAACAGTGTTTAGAGAATAAACAAGCCGTCATTCTGTCAGTTATGCCTGATTCTAGAATTGCGTAATCCCACTCATGTCCCAAATATGCGTCTACGTTGTTTCTAATATCGTTTTATTTTCCCCCTTTCTAGGAAAGGATTGGTCGGTATGAAGGTTGAATCCATGTGCTTCTTTTCTGGAAGGTAAGTTTTCAACAAACAGATTATTGATTCAACATTCCACTAGTTGATTACACGTCAGAGGGATAAAGCATGCGAGACATGTGTGATTTCAGTGGATTATTTTTTCCTCTCTTGAATTTATCTCCCACCTCGCAGAAAAAATGTAGTCGGTAATATTTAACAATTTCGAATTGATGGACAAATTGTCTGACCGTTTATTTACTTGCCTCAAATACATATGTATTCAGCGACTGGAGATATTTTAGGTCATTTAATTGAATCCAGGGAAGTAGGTTTAATTCACACTTGTAATACTAGAAAGTTTGGAATTTGTGGGAGAATATATGAAATGCTTGTTTAGTGCGCACACATCAAGGAAATAAGGGAAAGTGTTCATCTGCATACCACCAGTAATTTCTTTGAAAAGTTTTCATTAGAGGCATTTTAACAGGATATAAACTTCTACTTATAATCTGAATTCAATGTGTGCATTTTAGAATTGATTAAGATGTTAGTTCTTTTCGTAACAATGTTGTCCTTGATTTTATATAACTTTTCTTTTTTTTGGTGTGAAATATTCCCATAATATGAATCAAAAGTCAATCTGAGCGAAGAATATTCTTTTCAATAGTTTCTCTTCAGGTTCTTACAATTACAAAATATAATATTTGTGGTCGTTAGAATAAAGGCCAGTTATGCGGCGGATACATTTTTGACGTTGAATAACAGATTAGTTATGGGGTGTCAAAGTAAATATGCGTATTTGTGTGTGTGACAAACTTGCTAGGCTGAAATCGATTAGAAAATGTTGTAAAACGGGAGACAATGGTAGTGATTAATCATAAAAGATTTGTAGAGCGTAGGGTAGGAAAATTGACAAATTAGTTCAAGGTTATCGAAGGTGTCAGGTGAGTGGCTAGTACAAAGCGGTCTGTCTTAAACAGGAGATAGTAAGACTGGAATGAGAGGTTCATAATGAAATAACGAATATTTCATAACCACAAATGTAGAATAACGAATATGTTAAGCGAAACAGGTGGCTGCATATATTGTGGAAACAGATAATATCAGTAATAATTAGTCCGCATAAATGAAAAATTCGATAGTATTGAGGGAGTATTTGCATAAAGAGCATAAATTATGACGAATAATAATAACCGTAATAATAATATTTGTAATAATAAGCAAAGCAAAAAAACAACAAAAAACCAAGAGGGTTAAGGGGAAGGAGCACTCTTGGTGAGAATAAAAATCTTCAATCCAAGTTTAGCCACGGTAGGAACAGCTTCTGGACGTGTTCTTCTTGAATACACAGTTCCGGTTTAGTCGATCTTATTGTAACGGCTTCAGCTATGTTTAGGAGAAGTAAGCGAGCAGTACGTGATAACGATTTTGGAATTCGGTATATAAAGCTGAAAGCTGTGTTGTCATCGATGCGATATCCACTACCGACCAGGTGTGACAGGGTCGAGCTATTTATGCACTTAATTTCCCCCCTGCTGAACCAAGCTGGTAAGTGTTCTCGAACCCGTAGACGAACCTGCCTAATCGTGCGCCCTATATAATTTGAACCACAGGGACAGTTGAAATGGTATATGCATGAAAAAGAGTTAAGGTTAGGTAAGACATCTTTGAGTTGCTGGGTGAACATTGGAAGGCTAGTGAAGGAAGCGAAGCCTTTAAGTTGAGGGAAAGGAGCAAATACGAAATCTGAAGAAGAGTTTCCCTGGGACAGTAGGTGACAAGACAAAATTTGAGATACCATGTGATAGAGACAGTGTAGGCTTCTAAGATTCTGAACATTATTCATTTTTGAGCAACATCCGTGTGCGATTTTCTTGGACAGGTGTGAGAAGGTTCTCCTCTGTAATTTTCCATAAATTTTGAGTAAAACTCCCACAATACGATGCCACTTAACACGACATGAAAAAAAAACCGGACACATATAGTGGAAGACAGTTATCCTCTTCAAGTCTTCCAGTTTCCATGATTATATCTCAATCATAGAAAAGCACAGAGTAGATTGCTGTGCAATATACCTGTTCTTTAATCGGTACTTCGGAAATAGCTGATAACTCCAGAGATAGCTGAAGTCGAGTTTAAAGGTGGGGCGGGCTCACCAGTTTAAAGGTTGAGAGATATTAAAGGTTTGACGTGATATCTCGCTCAACAACTTCTAATTAATTTATTCTCGCGTACCAAAGACAAAGCAAAAGCCAATAATTGGTCGTCCAAACGAAGAAATGTATTTAGGAACCAAAACCAGCCGATAGACGAACGCTTAGCTAGCTAGTGATCGTGCACGTTACACGACGGGGTACCAAATGGCGGGGATGCTTGACCGGAAGCCTTCAGCTAAACAAGTCGACTTAAACAGTGGTGGTCAGCATCCAATGAGTGATTGCTGTGGTCAATAATTTCGGGGAATTATTTACCGCTACAGCTCACTCCCCCCTAGTGGGGTCGTGAGGACCTTAAGACAGAACCAGCCGGAAGTAAAAAAAACTCGATGGTTCCCTTTCGGGTGAAAAAAAACTTCCGAGCGGCTTGGTCTTATGCCTACTGGTTTGTCTGCCTATGCTAATGGGGTGTTTGTACATAGCTTCCTGGTGTTGTTCGTTGGATTCCGTGCTTCGTTTGTTTTTCGTCCAGTGCCCGTCGCACCTGGAAAAGAAAACAAGAACGCTAAGAACCATGTCGAGGAAAATGTACGAAATGACCTTTTTGGTTAAAAAAAATTATGTGCATTTACTATACAGTAAAATAATGCTAAGTTCAGAACATCGAAAAAAAATACATCTAATCAATTTTTTAGTGTATGTTACATGAACTGTTGAAAAAAAATTTTTTGTGTTCGGTGGTACTGTATATAAAAAAAATTTATACGTCAAAAAAAAAAGTTAGTACCACGAACGAGTGAGTTGCGTGAATCACGCGAATTCGTTAAGTCAAATAAGTGTGCAGATATTCTGGGAACCTTACGGTGCGTCCAGAACAGGTTTTCTTGAGAGGCTCGATAGAAGGTTCGGTAGCTGTCGCTGTGCTAGCGACTTCATCGATGTCTACACGATCTTCTGTTACTTGTGGATTTTGGGGTACGTTGAGCTCTATGCTAATAGGATTACCCTCCAAGTAAGCCGGTTTCAGACGGTCAATGCTGACGGTGTCCTCGCGGCCGTTTTTGTCCAAGACAAAGAATTTATCAGAACGTTTAATAACCTTATAAGGTCCGTCATATGGGGGTTCCAGGGGTCTGCGCACAGAGTCGCGACGAACAAATACATGTGAAGAAGTTTTCAAACACGGATGAACGAAAACATCAATGGGCTGTGGGCGAAGGGGAGCAGGTTTAACTGAACGCATTGCGTTTGTAAGCCTGCTGACGTATGATGCGTGATCTACCACTGGTGGGGAGCTCGAGGGAGAAACAAATTCACCAGGCAGTCGTAGTGTCGTGCCATATACTAGCTCGGCGCTAGTACAACCAGCATCGGTTTTCAAGGCGTTTCGTATCCCTAGGAGAACTAACGGAGGGATTCAGTCCAATGGGTGGTGTTTGCAGCTGACAGACCAGCTTTCAGCTGTCTGTGTAGACGTTCTACCATACCATTAGCTTGAGGATGGTAGGCTGTTGTTCGAAATCGCATGCAACCTAATATTTTAGTCAGGGCAAAGAATAAGCCACTTTCGAATTGCCGCCCGCGATCAGTTGTTATGGAAGATGGGCATCCAAAGTTAGCAATCCATCTTTCTACGAAGACGCGTGCGACTGTTTCAGCAGATACGTCCTTGATGGGTACTGCTTCCGACCATCGTGTGAAGCGATCTATGCAAGTTAAAATATAAGTATATCCATGTGATTCAGGAAGGGGACCAACCAAATCTATATGGACGTGTTCGAAACGAGCGTCAGGGAGAAGAAAGGTGCCTAGTGGGCTTTTGGTGTGTCTTATCACCTTGCACTTTTGACAAGCTAAGCACGTTTGTGCCCATTCCCTTACTTCTTTATTAATGCCAGGCCAACAAAACCGACTAGTTACGAGCTTGACAGTAGTGCGAATACCTGGGTGAGATAAGCCATGCAACGTATTGAAGACGTTACGGCGATAGCTTTTAGGCACGATGGGGCGAGGAGTACTCGTGGAAATGTCGCACAGAATAGTATCTCTTCCCATACCTAGGGGTTTCTCAGCTAATTGTAGAGTTGTTTTCGACAACTCATGTTGAAGTTCGGCATCTTCTTTTTGAAGACGAGCCAGTTTTACTAGGTCTATGCCGTCGATTTGGGTGAAAGAACAAACGCGCGACAAAGCATCTGCCACAGTGTTGTTTACTCCGGATACATGGCGAATATCTGATGTAAACTGTGAGACGTAGTCCAGTTGTCGTGATTCCCTGGGTGAATACTTATCTGAAGGTGAGTTCAGAGAGTACATCAGAGGTTTGTGATCCGTAAAAATTATAAATTCACGACCCTCTACCGAATGTCTAAAATGTCGTATAGCACAGTACATAGCCAGAAGTTCTCTGCCGAATGTGCTGTACTTCGTTTCTGCTAATTGAAGGCGCCGGGAGAAAAAGGCAAGTGGTTGCCACTCATTGTCAACTAGCTGTTGTAGAACTGCGCCGATTGCAGTGTTTGATGCATCAACCGAGATACTTAACGGTGCCGTTGGATCCTGATACATCAGAAGTGTGGCATTCGCAATAGCTTTTTTAATCTGGGTAAAAGCATTTCGAGCAGACGCGTCAAGTTCTATGGACTTGTTATTCCCTCGAAGGAGGTCTGTCAATGGCTGAATCAAAGAGGCACAGTTGGGAATAAAGCGTCGATAATAACTTACTAAGCCGTTAAAAGTGCGGAGACTTTTCACCGTCTGTGGCTCTGGAAAGTTCAGTATAGCCTCGACCTTAGTAGCCAGTGGGCGAATGCCCTTGCAGTCAATAGTGTGACCCAGAAAGTCGAGTGAGTCAACACCGATTTGACATTTTTGAATATTAATGGTAACACCATGTTGGCGTAAC